TCCTCTTGCACTGGCTCGTGCATTGCGGCAGGCTCAGGCTCTCTGTCTGTGGCGGGCTCAAGTAAAATCTCTGTTGTGTCGCTCGTGGGTGGTGGCAGACTGGTCTCTGGATTTGGAGAGTGGCTGGTGAAGTCCTCCTGTGCGAGGCCGATGGGGAAAGCCGATTTATTGTTCACCAGCACCCAGTCCACAAAAGCGTCGAAATTCTCCCAGGGACCATTCCCTGGGAGGTGTGCCTTGGTCCAGATAATGAGTCAGGCACGCCAAATTCAAAAAGTCTCTGCTGTGATCCTCCAGGGAATGGTCTTCCTGCTCCAGGAATGTTTTCTTGTAAAACATACTCCAATAATATTTATTTTATTTACAAGTTTGAAAAAAAATATATATTTTTTTTTACAGTGTATTACATAAATTGGGAGCTGTTGAATTGCTGTCTGTACTGTTCTGTTTAATTCAAGCATTTGCGTGTTATTCATGTCTTTTCCCCACTATAACATAGTAATATTAGGTTACATTAATTTTACATTTATTGTTAGTATTTTATTTAAACAACAATTTACGTTTACCTCTTAATGTGATATAATAATTTTTGGGCATTTGTTTGAAAGAGAGTAGGAGAAAGAAAACGTGTTTTCCGTAGATAATAAAATGTATTTTCATGGGGGAAAACATGGAAATAGTTTCTCGTTTTTACCCTCTTGTGTATTACATTTATTTGCTTGGTCAGTATTTTGGGGTTTCATCAATGCGATGTTACGGCTAGATGCTTAGCAACAAACACCCACTCTTGTGCCTCATATTCACATGCATTTGACAGTAACGGAAAGACCATGCGGTGTATAATAAATAGTTGTTTCTGTGCTTGAATGGAAAAAATGTCAAATGGTACAGAAAAAGAATTTGAAATAAGAAGAGACCATTTCATTCTTACTCTATAATATGAAAAGTCCATTCTGGAAAACTTGATAATATAGTCGGTAATGTGAGGATGTCCCAGTGCCGGCATGTAAACACATTCATCCAATCACTGATGCTGACACCGCAAATGAGCAAATAAGGACATTAACCCGGGGGTTAGGAATGTGACATGTCAGTTTATGAATACACAGGATTAATTCTGAAACGTGTGAAGCAAGGTAACCAGGATTCTGTTTGAATGACCAAGGGTTAATATTTAATACAGGCAGCTTATCTAGAAATTCATTTTTAATATTCCTATAATATTATGCACTCAGACAGATATATTAATGACTGCAGTGGGAGCTTTCCAGTGGAAAGGTGGATATCAGCTGTACAAACAGAATGATCAGTTAAATGTCTTTCAAGCTGGAAGTGAGCATGACAGTTATTTAGGTAAGATCTCTTCTTTGTGTAAATAAAAAAAAAATCAGTCAAATACCTCAGAATATTTTAAAGTCTGTTTTATTTACAGGTTATTCCTTGGCAATAGTGACAATGTTCGGAGCAAAGTATGCAGTCATGGGAGCACCAAGATACAAGCATAAGGGACAAGTATCTGTTTCAAGAATTGATAATATTCGAAGCAATTTAAAGGAACTGGATCCCCCTAAGGTTATAAAGCTGATATTTCTGGAAAATATTTGCACATTGCACCAGCAGGTGAAAGTAAGTAAGCTCAAAATAGACTGTATGTTAAACTATATTGCTTCCCTTTTCTCAGCCTCAGATTGGATCATATTTTGGAGCTGAGGTTTGTGTGGTGGATTTAAACAGTGACTCCAGAACAGACCTCCTGTTGGTATCGGCACCAACATACATGGAGCCTGACCGGGAGGGCAAAGTGTTTGTTTACACCATCAGTCGTCGGGTAAGTGATGGGGATTAAATGTTTTACAGAATTTTGAAAATCAGTTCTGATTTAAATTTAGATATTTGATTTGCTTGTTTGTTTACTTCTCTCTCTGGTCTGTCTTCATAGTCTTACTTCATTTTTTCGGGTATGGTGCTGGTGGGAATGGCAGGTCAGAGGGGTCGATTTGGTTCTTCTTTGGCCAGTCCAGCAGATCTGAATAATGATGGTTACATGGATGTGCTGATTGGAGCTCCTTTAGAGGAGGATGGACAGGGCAGCATCTACATCTTCAATGGAGGAGTAGATCAAATAAATTCTGCATATTCACAGGTACAATGGATGGGAAAAGAGTTAATAAAAAAAGAGACAAATTAACAGTTAAACCCGTTTTTTTGGAACTTTGCACAAATAGGATAAAAACACATTCTGTTACTTACTTTTAAAGCATTAGAGACACAAATCTTGTTATTTTTTTGTGTGAGAACTATTAGATATTTTAACTTTTAATATTTTAAAAATGTAATTTTAATTTTTTTTACACTGATTATAGATTTGATTACATTCATCAAGCACAACCATTACTCAACCCTTTTACCCAAGTTGTTGTGACAAAAAAATAAAATAAAATAAAAAATAAACAAATAATTTTCCTTAATGTATTGGAAATAGTTTTATTAATAACCACAGAGCAACATTCCAAGTGTTTATTGTCAAAATAAACCAACAAAAAATCCTGTTGAACCCTGTTTGTGATCAGTGCCTATTTAAACTGTCTTAAAGGGATAGTTCACCCAAAAATTTAAATTTGATATTTATCTGCTTACCCCCAGGGCATCCAAGATGTGGGTGACTTTGTTTCTTCAGTAGAACACAAACTAAGATTTTGAACTCAAACTGTTGCAGACTATCAGTTTTATAATGTAAGTGGATGGAAATCACGGCTTTGAAAGTAAAAAAAAAACCACACAAACAAAACCAAATTAAACCCTGCGGCTTGTGACGATACATTGATGTGTAAAGACACAAAACGATTGGTCTGTGCAAGAAACTGAACAGTATTTCTATCATTTTTTACCTGTGATTTTCACCGCAATGTCCGAACTGTCCTGAGCGCGTTCGCGTCTTCTTCTTCTTCTTGCTTTACGTCGGATCGCAGACTTATAAATGCATTACTGCCACCTATCGCTCAAATGGACCATTGACACGCTATCTACAATTTCAATAAGGAGTGTCAATGAATCAGAGGTTAAAAACTATATAAATACTGTTCAGTTTATTGCACAGACCGATCGTTTTGTGTCTTTACACATCAATGTATTGTCACAAGCTGCAGGGTTTAATTTGGTTTTGTTTGTGTATGTTTTTTTGACTACCAAAAGCCGTGATTCCCATCCACTTACATTATAAGACTGACAGACTGCAACGGTTTGAGTTCAAAATCTTAGTTTGTGTTCTACTGAAGAAACAAAGTCACCTACATCTTGGATGCCCTGGGGGTAAGCAGATAAACATCAAATTTTCATTTTTGGGTGAACTATCCCTTTAACTGTTACTGTTTTTCTGTTTTACCTGAAGTCCCTCCACCCTGAAATCCTCTGTGTCTCATTCTCCCGCTTTCCTTCACTGTATGTGATGACAGAGGATTGCTGGATCATCTGTGCGACCAGGTTTGCGGTTCTTTGGGATTTCGTTGAGTCAGTCCTCTCTAGACCAGACTCAAGACAGCCTTCCTGATATTGCTGTTGGGTCCAAAGGAGCAGTTCTGCTTCTCAGGTGTGTTTTGTTTTATAAAGAATTCTAAATATACAAATATACAGATTCAGTCATGATCATTCATATGTGTTATATGTGTATCATTCAGGTCCAGACCCATCATGCATTTGGAAACTAGAGTAACTTACAACCCATCCAAAATACCAACCGGTGAAACAGACCAGTCACTTAAAAACACCATGAAAGTCTGCTTCACCATGAGTCCACATAAACACAGCATAAGAGGTTTGTCCAAAATTAGAAATATTCTTTGATGTTGTAAAGTGTGTAAAGTTTTTAATGTGCAGATAGTCTTCTCCTGTGGCAGGTTCAACTGCAGGGACAACTATAAGTTTACTGTCTCTGTGGTGTACCAAAATATTTACATGATAATCCCAAATCAGCAGCATTGGCTCAACCAGTGCCGGGAATTTGGGGGCGGGGCAATCGGTTGGACCAACCAATGGCAGTAAGGGGGCGTGCTCAGGAAACCTGTCTGAAAACAGACTTATGTTGATGTAGCTAGTGGCACAGACTTAAGCTTTAAACACAAGTTTTATTCACTCTGAGAGAGAATTCATGTAAGTAGACACATAAAATTATCAGAGACAGCTGTGAAATTTTGGGGTCAATATTTCTTTATTTATTTTGGGAAATAAATTAATAAATTATAAATTTAATTAATTAATTAATTCATTTTAAATTGTATTACTATTTTTACTGTATTTGTGATCAAATACAGTACCAATCGCAAACATGATACTGTATTTTTTATAATATATATATGTTCAAAGTCTTATGTCTGTAAATAAAATGTCCTCTGTGTATTACTTTGGCTGATTTAAAAAAAAAAAGAGACTGTTTTATGTTTATTATCTAGGCTTAACAGCAAATATTAATTACACCATAATGCTGGATGCCAAGCGACAGAAATATCGAGCATATTTCTCACCCAAAAACCGCTTCCACAATAATGATACGACGATAAAGTTTTATGAAGAAACTTGCAAAAGTCATCCTTTCCTTATAGACGTAAGTCTGAAACATTTTCTCATACTTTTAAATATCTAAGTCTGTTATTGTGGCTGAATGAAATAACAATTATAAATGGGAATAGTTAAGTGCTGTACCTTATAGTAAGATGCAACAATGTGCCAACACAAATCTGAAAATTATGATTTTATGGTACATGAATATCTTATATGTATCCCATCAGGCTTTCTCAGAAGATGCTCTGAACTCATTGTCCAATCAGTTAACATTCACATTTGAGGGTCTACCATCTGCCAAATTGCAAAACATAAGGCCAATACTGCTGCCGGGGATAAAGACCACCACAGACCACAATGTAAGAGAAGGCAAAACAATTTCAAAGCATCGTCAGATGTATAATTCAGATGTAATGTGAAAGGTATAGCTCACCAAAAAATGGAACTTCTGTCACTATTTGCTGTGTCACCTGTATGACTTTTTTTTTTTGAACACAAGAGTAGATATTTTGAAAAATGTCTATGCTTGTCGTATAATGAAAGTCAATACAGAGTCATACAGAAAGTCAATTGGAATGAAACAATAGTAATGATAACAGAATTCTTGCATTGCAAATGGTATAATTTTAATTTAATACACTCTTTTTGACAAATGTCTGAACATCTACTATCTAGTGTAATAGGAGATGTAGTTTTATATGATTTAAGAATGTTTTTATTTTCATCATGTGTATCTAAATATCTTAAAATCTTTATTCCACAGCTGGATTTTGAGATAAATTGTGGACATGATGACATTTGTGTTGATGACCTCAGGATGGATTTCAGTTTCTCTGGGTGAGCAAATAATTACATTTAGTTATTCTGTATTCCATTAAAGAACAACAAAAATAAATTAGCAAATAATAGCCTTAATTATGCGTTACTTGCACAAAACCAAATGCAATATTCCAGGGTACTGTTACGGGGCTGACGAGGCGTGAGACGTGCGGATCCATTCGCAAAGCTTTTATTGTGGAGAAGACAGAGACATGGTCATGAAGCAGGCAGGGTCAAACTGAGGCAGACAGGTATATGGCGGGCAAAACACAAGAATAATCCTAGGGCTAGCGTGGGTCGATGAACTGCAGACAGAATCAGAAGGGGCAAGACTAGGGGAGAAGTCCAGGAAACCAGGCGAAGATCAGAAACCGAGAACGCGGCTAAGGCTAAGGCTAAGGCTGGGAAACGACTGAGGGCTCTGTAGTGTAGCTATCACTAGGGGAGTGATAAACGCTGAAACAATACTCAGCAGAGGGAAGGGATCAGAATGAGTGTTAAATAGTGAGGGAGTGATATGAAACAGCTGGGTGCAATCAGTGTGAACAGCTGTGTGCAATCCGTGCTGAGTGCAATCAGTGCAATGCATGATGGGAAATGTAGTCCGGGGTGATGTGCAACAGTGTGTAGTGCGAGAGTCAATGAAATTGGAAGTTCATGGACCGGATTCGTGACAGGTACGAAGCAATGTAACGCTATACACAAACAATACCAGACAATGAACTGAGGGAACTGAAGGTCTTAAATAAAGAGTGAAACAAACTCAATACAAAACAGGTGCGCTCTAATTAGTAACAATGAATAACCACGACAACTGATGATAAGAATGAACATTAGTGATCATTTTACTGACTTTCTTATTCAGCCTCGTTCATCAAAAAGAACAAATCTTTATTCAAGTCATTTCATTCATGTAAGAGCCTTGTTATAAATGTTATACTTTTAACAGCCAAATTCCCCAAACACATCCACCTGCGCAATCTTGATCATATTCCGAATGAAGAAATCATTATAATACAGCCAAATATAATTTACAGGGAACATATATAATTACTTTACCTTCCGAGTCTTTCGTTCATTTTTTCACATGACAGATGCAATGAACGGATCGTTCATGAATGACCCACCGCTAGTGAACATAGGAACAAGGAAACAGGAAACAAGAAACAAACTAAAAGTCAAACAACAGAACGTGACAGCGTTCTCTCACAAAACTTTTGTGTTCTCTTGCAAAAGTATTGCATTCCACCGAGAAATTTAGCATTTTCCTTCCAACCTCATATTATTTCCTTTACAAAGATTTTGCAAACAAGCGCAAACTTTCTCGCAAAAGACAAGAGTTTTGCAAGAGAATGCAAATTCAATCTTCTTCTTCTTATTATTATTTATTATTATTATAATTTTTTTTTACAATCACCATGTCCCTTTAGGAGCTCCATACAACAATATCAAATTATGGAATCAACCTTGTTTCATTCCAATAAAAAAAAAATTTTCTCTTTTGTTTCTGTGATCCAGTTCTACAAATATCGAGGTTGGGATCATGCAGGAAATCGATGTGGCAGTGATTGTAGAGAACAGAGGAGAAAACTCATACAACACATTCTTCACCCTCAACTACCCCTTTGGACTTTCCTACAGGAGAATCACATCTAAACAGGTAAAGCCAGAATGATTTTGAAAAAAGACACCAAAAACGATATCTATAAAGATAACTATAACGATAACTATATTAATGTCCACACCATTTCACAATGCCGTTCTGTTTATTATGTTTCTGTTGTCTTCTGATCTTTAAAGCCGGGTGGATTCTGATTGGCTGTCAATGTTTCATCAGCTGGAAAAAATCATTCTGAAATTGATTCCAGCGATATTTTCCTCTGTGTCGTTACCGTTATAGTTGTGGTGTGGACTTCCCAATTGTCATAGAGTTATAGTATATCATGATAGTTATCATCCTTGGTTTGAATAGCAATTGGAATGACAATTATTGTTATTGAATGAATGTTTACGCATCATTTTCTGTTTGAGCAGGGCAGAGTGGAGTGTGTATCTCTTGACAGTGAGCAAAAAGGTACATTTGGAAAGACCACCTGCCACATAAGCAAACCCATCCTCAAGGGCAACGCTCAGGTGAGGTCACTTTTAAAACTGTCCTGTGCGTTTGGATTTTTTTAGCACTTCTCATTTTCTCTGTGTCCACTTCTAGGCTGTGTTTCATATTACATACAGCATCAATAAAGAAAGCACCTTCGATCAACAGGTCAAATTTACTGCTAGAATCAACAGGTATGGCACATTTGATAGATATCACCTTCATCTGCATCGCTCAACTGTGAGATTTTGAGTAGCTGCTCACATATGAGAAACTGATCAAAACCCTCCATCATCACTTACAGTGGGAATGACAAACATTCTCAAACCAGTGAATTACTCAGAGAGAAAAGCATTGGAGTCAAATATGCCATCTATATTGCCTTAATAAGGTTAGTGCTTTGGTTCTCTATAAGAGACATTCTCAACTGGATTTGTTTCGGCACCCAGATTTGACAATGGATGTTACGTTTCCGCTTGATATTCAAAGTAAAATCTGGGATTCTAAAGCAAAACCAATTGAAGTTTAATGTTTGATTTAGACAGGGTTCTGTGATCTTTATAATATGTTTTATACTATTACTATTTTACTGCACGCTTTACCAAATGAATTCAGCCTTGAGTAAAGCCTTTTCAAAAACATAAAAAAAAAAATCTTAAGGATTCCAAACTTTTGACCAGTAGTGTGTGTGTGTGTATAAACACACCAAATATTAAACTGTTTGACACATTTTTCCTTTTATTTTGAATAAGACATGAAGATTCAACCCTCCACATTAATTTTACTGCACAGAAAAATGATACTGATAAACCAGTCAAACAGATACTAAAGGTACTGTAATGAAATTCACACACTTCCATGAACACAAAATTGAATTAGATAAAGATTGTCTGATCCAAAACTAGAGTTCGATGTCTCTTTTTCTATATCAATGTATTTACAAAAATGGTCTCTTTCAGGTTGAAAATGACTTTAGAGAACTAAGTTTCAAAGTTTTCATCAGAGTACCAGTGATGTTGGGAGATAAATCTATCTGGACTAATAAAAACATACAGGTAAACATGAATGTGTTAGAAAAAGCCCATACTGATTCACATTCATCAAAATAAAAACAACCAAACACTAGAGTATGTGCTTTTAGATTCCAGGCTGTGTGAAACAGAGGGATGAGCGACCTGTCGTAACTGATTTTGTCGAAGTAATTAAAAAGGATCGTGTGGTGGTGAGTGATTTAGTTTCATTCCCTGATCTAACATAAACAAGTCCGTAAAAGTATAAGATTTTATCTTCTCTGCACATTGACCTCATTACTCCATCTCCCCTGATGTGTTTGTGTCAGAACTGCTCTGTGGCGGTGTGTGCCGAGTTCAGCTGTGACGTCACTCTCATAAAGAATGAAAGGATGCTCTATAATATAACTGGCAATGTGAGCTCTGGCTGGATTGAGCAGGTCTACAACTTTTAAAGCAAATTCATATCACAAAATGAACCATATATTCATATTTTTGTGTCATCATTTTTTTTAATGTCACGATCTGTCTCTCTTAGACTGGACTCGGAGCAGCTGTTTTCCATCTGGTCAGTTCAGCATCTCTGGATTATGACCAGAGCAAATATGTTTTATTTTCCTCTGATTCTCAACAAACTGCACCGTCTGTTCAGGTAATGCATTTTCTTTACAGATTATCCAGAAATGTTAGAAAATGTAAATGAAATTTGAAAAAGAATAACATTTAAAACTAAAAATGAACATTTAACGTAATGAATGTACGGTTATAATGTGCAATGTAAATATGTTCATATGATTAGATTAGATTTTCCAATCCATGTATACCTACAACCACAATGATATTATATTGGTAAATCTTCTAATATTTACATTTACATGTAGTCATTTAGCAGACGTTTTTATCCAAAGCGACTTAGAAATGAGGATATTATAGATATATAGAGGATATATATATAGGTATATAGAGGAAATATTGTATGATGTATGTGTGTATGTAGATTAATACTCAAGTGGAGGTGTATGAGGAGGTGAATCTGACTAAAGAGATCGCTGGAGGTGTAATAGGAGGACTGCTGCTACTGGCTCTCCTCACAGCGGCCCTCTATAAGGTGTGTATACTGGATGTTTAGTTTCAAACCTTTCATTTTCAGCAGTCTACATACCTTGGGTTTTCTTTTTCAATGTTATAATGCATATGCTTTATTTCCTTTCAGGCTGGTTTTTTCAAAAGCCAGTACAAGCAGCTGCTAGAGGACGCAGAGGAAAGCCCTGAAGAGGGGCCAACCACAAAATAACACAAAATATAAAATAAACAAAAATAACCAACCCCATTTAGATCAACCACAATAGTGATGTATTTAAGATTCAAATGTGGCTTACATGCAAGTGAAATTATTTTCCAGGACCAATTTATTAATGAGGCTTATTATATGCATATGCTTGCAAATATTATTGATATACTGCTTGTACAATAATCATACGTTTTCCGTTAACAAACTCTGTAATGTCCTTATTAAATAAAAGGGCCTGCTGTACCTGATGCTTTAAATGGAGGAGAAACAGCTACTGACACCTCAAATACTGTTATGACTACATCAGGGAGGTTTAAATCTGTAGTGTGTGATTTCAGTGCACTTAACAAATTTGCAAAAATAATGACTGCTTTCAAACATGTTTCCTAAACACACATTACATTTCATTAGAGGTAGGGCTAAGGTAGAGTTAGTAATTCATGACCAATGAAAACTTTAGAATCGGCTACAGGACAGCTTTGTGCTTGACTGGTTTGGGTGGGATTTCTTTTTTATTAAGGCTCCATTTTCAGACTTTTAACAACTGAAACATCTAATTCTGCAAACACCAGGAAATGTGAGCGGAACTATTTGAAATGAGAAGTGAAAGCAGTGCAAGTCAGCGAATTCACTCAAAACACAGACAACATGCAATTGTGTTGATGAGGAAACCGACATGTTCAAACAGATAAACCTCGTTAGACAGCTTGTGGAATTAATAGGAACCACAGAAAAAATAAAATAAAATAAAATAACCTCTTATCTCACAATATAACCCATGTGAAAAAGAAGTGTGCTTAATTGTATTAAAAGTGTATTTTTTGTGTACTTCAAATCTTAAAAGTATACTTTTTAAAAAGTGCACTTGCAGATAATATAATATAATTTAAATGAAAGGCAACTTAAGTGTACTTAATGACAATATTTCTTAACATACTTAAGTGCACTTTTTAAAAATGTACTGTATAATAATGTCTAATTAAGTATTACTTAAACATACATTTTACATTGTTATGATTTTATGGTGTTTAAAATAAGTACACTTTTTTTGATATATTTAACAATGTACTAAAGCACATGCAAAATCATTTATTTTAATTTCAACTTAAGTGTGTTGTCCAAAATTACATTTGTTAATGTATTTTAAATGTATTTTGTCTATAATACATACTGTGTGCATTAATGCCTTTAAAATGTATTTTTCTTCTAAACTTTAATACACTTATTATACATAATACTTCAATAAAATTTTCATCACCCATCACCAGCTCCTGCTCTATGAACTCTATGAAGTTTAATTTTCTACATAATATTTGACATACAGTGTCATTTACGAGAGTACTGTATTTGTACAGTATGTAGGCAAATAGTAATATACTGTACTTTACATCTGTGTACAGAATACTTTCAATGTCATTATGTTGTTCTAAGTCGCTTAAACACATTTAATTGCATTCATTGCAAACAAAAGTTAAACAAATGTAAACAAAATTCATTTGGATTCAAATACATTTTATTTTAATTATACTAGGCTACACTACACTGTAAAAAAATGATTGACTTTTAGTTAGGTGAATGAGTCATGAATGCGTCTAACCATAGTCTTTGGTTTAACTAAACAATGAGTTAGAACAACTTGAACAGAAATAGAAAACTTGAAATAATAACATTTAATCATGCCTTAAGTATCTCTTTTGTTTAATCAGTATGCACCAAAAATACTACGTCATGACGGCGCACTTCTTCACCAGAGTTTGAAAAATGCGCTGTCTGCCATGTTTCTGTAATTGCAATGCGTGAGGGAACTTTGCTGATCAAACAAGAGGAGAACAAAGGAGCGCCGCGTTTAGATGATTACAGAGGAGAGTTTATGTACTGCAAATAATGAGTCAAGTAAGTATATCTTGGTATAAGCTTTCTTTATTGTTAATTTTTGCCATTTGTTCTCGCAATATGGACTCTGAATGTGAATTAATCGTGTCCTATAATCTATGACTAAGGTGACCAGATTTCTGAAATGAAAACCGGGGACA